TAAACCAGCCCATTAAGTTGTAGAAGAGAACGGACTAAGATGGCAGGGACATCTCCTAAGAATGGAACCTACCAGAATTGCTAGTGAGGTCTTTCGTGCCAATGTTGACGGTTAGAGAGGAAAAGGTTACCAAAGAAATAAATGGGACGCCGAAGTAAAGAAGGATTTCCTGAAAAGAGGACTTCAATGGAATGAGAGAAGGCATTTGGTGGAAGACCGGCAGAGCTGAAGAAAGCTCTGTAGACTCCCTCCTCACACTGCATAGGCAGTAGTAGAGGAGAGAATATGATGATGATGATGATGATGATACAATTTCCAGCAGACGGATTTCATGCAGTAAAATGTTTTTGATTTTTCATTGTTAAATTCAATAAAGTATTGTATATATTCCAATAAATCGCCCTGATGGTCATGGATATTAAATTTAAACAATTCGTTAATTAATAAATCACTTCTTTTCCACAAATCGTCTCCGTTTGCAGGAACAAAGAACGTTGCAGGTTTCATCGGTTAATGGCCTTGGCTCCAATCAGGACAGGCTCAAACAAAAGAACATCTTTTCAGGTAGTGGAGGCCCTTTGCTGAAGGGACCACTAGCGGATCCAGGATTTAATTTTGGGGGGCTTCAGCCCGGAAGCTTTTTTTTCATATATATAACGATAATTACATAAAAAAAAAGCAGAAAGCTACTAACTACCTATATGAAATGGTGTTTAAGTAATTCTTGAAGTCCTATTAAATATAATTAAACGAGCAATAATACTTTAAGGCATAATTTTTTAACATTTTTTAGCATAAAACATGGTTACATTTTACCATTTTGGGGAGGCTTCAGCCCGAAAGCCCCCTCCCCCCGTAAATCCGCCTGTGGAAGGGACCGTCTCAAATTTAGATACACCACTGATATGAAAAATAATTTTAGCCAGAAAAATCATGTTGTAATTTTATATAGTTAAATTTTAAATAGCACATGATAGAAATAAATAAAAATACTAATTGTCCACCAAGGATACTATATAAAAAAAATTTAATGATTTTTTTTACATATTACAAAAAAAACTACCATTTTGACCATAAAATGGTCTAATGAACATACAACTAGTATTTTTTAAAATAAATAATGATATTTATTAATGTTTTTTTCATGGAAGTTCGTCGACATCTATCATGAATGACAGCTAATTAGGATCTAGTATTTTTTTTTTTAATGCTTACGTTTCAGCCTTAACATGTGGCTCATCATTAGGGCAGATTACTTCAGTATATTGAACAACTTCCAGTGTTTATGATATTCAGTACCTGGCTATCGTTTGAGCTGAATATATTCTCCTGATGATGACCCACACGCACGGGCGGATCTTAGGGAGGAGGGCTTTCGGGCTGAAGCCCCTCCCCCCTCCCCCAAAATGGCAAAATATAACCATGTTTTATCGAAAAAAATATTTAAAAAGTATCTCTTAAAGTATTATTGTTCGTGTGATTAATATTAAAAGGGCTTTAGGAATCACTTAAACACCATTTCATACAGATAGTTAGTTTCTTTCTTTTTTTCCAAAGTAATTATCGTCATTTTTATGAAAAAAAAAGCTTTCGAGCTAAAGCCCCCCCAAAAATTAAATCCTGGATCCGCTAGTGCCCACACGTAAGGCTTGAAACGTCGGCAAAAAAAAAAAGAACCTTCGAAAATTGACTGCTTCCTGATTATCTATCCCCCATGATCAGTTAATAAATGATCAGTATAAATGATGTTTCTTGCTCAACTAGAAATTTTTTAATGACCTTAAATGCAACTACGACAAGGTAAAAAAAATGTGATGGCACACACGAACCATGTTTATGACCTGGGCATAAAGAAAGTAATAGTCTATTCGAAATTATTGTTTAGTGGCTTTGGCTATGGTGAAAGACAGCCTGAAGGGCCTAAAAACAACCCCCACAGGTAGAAACGGAGGCACAAAGGGAGGGGAGCAGTTCAAAATTTAGCAGCTGCCCCACATTTGAACATAGAAACAATTAAAAGGAACAAAGAAACAAACATAAATAGCGAATTTCTTAGAAATAAAATAACAGCTAAATTTCTTTTAGCATTCCAATATTTTTAAAGATCATTTTTAAGGTTTTATAGGATCTCCTGAAATTTATTTTAGATCATCATCAAACAACAAAATGAACACATATGAAGGCATTTAAAGATTGAGAATATTAATTTCAGGCTCCTTTAGTGGACATAATTGAAACAGTGAGCGTCTTATACAATCAAAGTATTTTTCGGCTGTAAAACCCGCACTTGATTCGACTGCATGCGACCTTGAAGCTTTATGTAACTATGATAAGGGAATAAGACAACAAATGAATGTTGAATGAGGAATGTGAGTTTACTGATAAACTACAACTTCCTAGTTTCCTATATTTTGGCCTAAATAAAAGGCTTTACCCACTTCGCTATATTTCTGTTTCCTCACACTTTCTTTGTTCGAAAAAAGATTATGTAGGACAAGACTGCTAGATTGGAGTATTTTCCTTACGGTTAGGATTTTTTTTACCCTTTAGGTTTTTTTTTATAGTGCCAAAATTTGTTAAGTAATTTTTTAAAATTTTAGTTAATAAGTTTCTGTTCAAAAAGTTCCTGCCCGGATTTAAAGTTTGAATAAAAAACATATATTTACCCCCACACTGCTACGTTTGTTGGTTCGTAGTGTTCTCATACTGTAGCTATCGGCCTAAAACATTTTTTTCTAAACAGGCTTGTTTAGAGTTAAGATTTTTCCGGGAGAAATAAAGTTGATATTCGTTTTTCGCACCTCTATAAGTTTTTCTTAACTACTGGCTTAAAAAGTAATGACATTTAAAAGATATTGATTTGGAATGGAAGAGCAGTATTTTAGTTTCCCAAAGATTATACTAATGTTGAATTTGGAGAAAATCCTGAGAAGTAGTGAGTACTTTAGTTAACAGCAGGAAAATAAATCCTGAAAGATAATCCAAAAATTTGCAATTAATGATTTATACAAAAATTCGTATTAAGAGTATTAAAGAACACTAAAAACGAATCTAATTTACTCTTTCATAACAAAAATTTACTTCGCCTATTTTTTATTTTTCGCCTTTTAATTTTGGTAATTTATGTTACATTATACCTTATTTAATACCGTTGTAAATATGTTTTTCTAATTCTTCTTATAACATCTAATTCATTGGTACATTATAGCCTAAAAACCGGGGCAAAGCAAACGCAAAAATAAATAACGTATATTTTGTTTGAAATTATATTTAAAAAAAATTTTCGGCTCCTATGGCACATTGGAACGAACGCCGGGACATGTCTAATATTTTAAAATGTTTTATCACCGAAAATAATTTGATTGAAATCGGTGACCCACTGACTGTCAACTCCCCTTGTCAGTTTGTAAAGCTTGATTAGAATTGACTTATCTTTATATAAAAACTAATGCTCTAGGAAGTGAGCTTGTAAAAAAAATACATCAATGTTTTAATGAAATAATTATTCTCTATACTAAAGTGGAAAGAGATCTAGTTTTGAAAAATTCATAAGGTAGGATCTTGAAGTGGTATTGCATCTGGACTCAAAACAGAAAAGAATTTTCCTTTTTGCTAGTTTTCGCGTGACATATTAAAATTTTATGGGGAGTGAGCATCAAGACAAGTAACAGCCATAAAATGGGTCGGCCAGGTGGTATGCAATAATCAATATTTTTTTAATTAAATAATTCTACTTGTTTAATTTAATATTAATTTGACTGCACCCCCCCTCCCCCCCCGATCAACTCCTTCTCATATTATATCAACGGTCCACCATCTCTACATCAATATTTTTTTAAATGTGAATAGATTATCCACCATATCATATCTCTAAAGCTCTAGATTTAGAGCCTCCCTGATAAATAGTCCACTATGAACAGCTTACCATGTTTGTGACAAGCTAGGTGGTGAGAATAACATTTCACATATCTTCTACAAATTTACAAATTACAAACAAATTTACAAATTTTACCAAACAATGAATGAGAAATATAATCTAAAAAGATCATGAGAAAAAAACATTTAACTGGTTTCGGTTGTGATTTGACCTTATTATTACCCAATGACATAAATGTGACCGAAATTTTGAAATGACCCAGCTAATAAATATAATCTTATGACAAGAAAAAAATGATCTCCAATAGCATTATCCTGCCATTTTTTTTCTTCAAGGACCAGTTAAACACAATTTTATAGAGTTTATTTCCAAATGAAATTCTGAATCCGCTACTGCTTTGCAACGTTTTTCCATTTAAATAAAAGTGAACTATAAGAATGTAATGTAGAGGAAAGTAAATGGCACAAAAATTCTATCTTGAACTTTAAATGAAACTGAAAGTTTTTAGGAATTATGGCAGAATAATTTGTTTATAACATTAATTCTACAGTATATTTAATTAGAAGTAACTAACTACACACAGGCATCAACTCATCATACAGACATATGCGATTAATAATTATGTATATCATACATTTTTATTGAAATTATTTCAAAGAATGTATGGTCGTTATATTTATTATTAGAGTTCATTATTTACAACACAAAAAATCAGAAAACAGTTTAATGAATTATTAAAAGTTGGTAGTTTTAATTTATTAGATTTATTCCACTAATTAATTTTAACTGTGTTCCCAGAATTATGATGATAATAATAATAATAAAAGTCTGATTTACTGCTATAATACTGAATAATTTAATGATATAGAACTATTTCTTTTTCTAGGCTTTAAAGATGGATACAGATTTCATCCCTAAAGCTTCTTGTATTGCTCCACGCAAAAACCAATATTATTGCGTGTTTATGATCAAATGTTACTTATCAATATTTATGATTTATTACATTCTCTGGTTTATATTTTTCAATCTCCTCAATGAGAAATTTCAAGAAAAAATCATTATTGGGAGTAGGGAGAAGTACTGAGAGGACTACTTTTCCTTGACGCATAATAACATAGGAGACCTTGAGTCAGCTGATGTCAGTCCGAGAGACGCAGGCTCGTCTAGTGAAGCAGGTTCGTGCCTGTTAGTGTTTTCCAAACAATTCCGCTCTCAATCGTTCCTAATATTTTTAATTTGAAGCTTAGGCAGTATTATTGGGTAGTTAAGCAGTTTATTTTTGACGAGAAGCATCCGGGTAACTATTTAATATTATTTACAGTCTTGTTACAATAAATAGATTTGAATTAATTGAATCGCTAGTTACTATATAGACTAATAGTATTTTACATTTATAATTTTAGGAACCATAAGTTTAGAAGAGAATATTATTTATAAATTAACAAGATTACTGTAGTTTGTAAGTTATTTTAGTTAAATGAAAAAAATAAACATTTGTATTTATTTTAAGTTATTATTTAATATCTTACTATTTATTTTAAAAGTTCAGATATTATCAAGTTTTATTTGTATATTTAAAGGTACAAGGCTCCGGGACTGTCTTGGGGTGTAACTGGTCCAGACGTAGTAACATCACAGAATGGACCCGGAGCCAATTCCGGATGCACTCGAACCTTTGATGAGACAATTAGAAGAAGCCCTATCTCTAGAGCACAAGTTCCGGCCATTTCTTGAGATACCAAGACTCCCAAGGGTTTGTAATTAATCTAAATTCATAGTATTTTAGGATCTGTCCATTGATGTTTGCCTTATATTATTCTTACTCAAGTAGGTTTTTCTAATTTATGTTTGTTTTATCTAGGAGCGACAGGACGTAACTATTGGTATTAGAGATGGTTCTGCCCATGTCTTACGATGCCTTAAAATTTGGTATGATCTTCCACCTGATGTCTTCTTTGTTGCTACTAATCTTATGGATAGGTTCCTTACAAAATTAAAGGTAAATTTATGCTTTAATTTTTTTCATTTCCAAACCATAGTCAATTGAAATATTATTATAGTATTTGCACTTATAGAGTCCTTGATTAATTTCATAAACTACTATATCTTTTCTTAAACTGTAAGTTTAAGTTTTATTAAGTGTAATTATTACATATTAAGTTTTCAGAGTTTAAATTTTATATTCTATCATAAGTAGTTGTTGATAAACTTATCTGCCTATATTTAAGATTATGAAATTTCATTACTGTTGACTATTCTATATTCATTTTAACTATTAACCAAGATAAATGGTTTCAAAGGTTTATTCCTTAACATTAGCCAAAAGGTCTTTGTTATATTACTATCCTCACAACTAACAAATTTTCCATTTGTGAGTCTATATTACTTTATTTCTTAATTCTTGCATAATTTTTTAATAAAAGTGCGTCTTTCAAAGTGCAATTATCTTTTGTTTCTTTCTAGCTGTTGTTTTGTCAAAGAGGAAAATTCATTGAACTATCAGTTGTTTTTGAAACAGTTAATGAGAGTACATTTTGTTGTTGATTATAGGATATATCTTTCTGATCTGTTTTACTTGTGTCCCCATAACTGATAAATATGAAAATTTAATTTATATTGGACTTTTTTTCTATATTATTACATTTTTTTCAAAAATGTGAAACTCATTGTTAAGATGCTGTTCATTATCAGTAACATTTTCACTATATTTTGAGTGATATAGTTAGGTATTTAATTGCTTACCTTGATACAAATATTTAATGTATTTTTAAGATATTGGGTGAAACATTGGAATCAAAATTAGTTATAAAATTTCTGAGAAGCATAACTCATTTTAACTTTTAGCATGAAAAAACATTGTGTTAGTTGTCAGTAAATGTAAATAATATTGTGGGATATAATTATTAATTTAAGTTTAGATTTTTTAATGCTCTGAGATCTGAACATTGTTATATTTAATAGTTATTTGTACTTTAAAATGATATTTAATATTTATTTGTTCAAAAACTTATTTATATATTTAATAAATGTTCAAATAAATAAGCTTATTTGAATATGTGTTTGTTTGTGGTTTTCTTTGGGCATAGTGGATAAATATATATTTATAAACACTCCTTTACACAATATACAAATAGGCAATATTACAATATACAGGTTTTGAGTAATTATTATTATCATTTTTTTCAAAGCTGAGTGGTAACTTAGGGAATGGATTCATAAACCACCCAATGACTCCATCAGATCTACTGTAATTGATTTTTTTTTAAAGAATTTCTATTGGCCATTATGGGTGATCAGTTGCGGTGTTAGATAATATAAAATTAGCAAGTTTCTAAACTCAGCATTGATTCCCCTTCAATTGAATCAAAAAGTAATTTACGCTTAGTTTCCGAGATAACCTGAAGTAATAACACAAAAGTTATCATGGTGCTATATCCAGTGGATTCATGGACCCTAGAAGCCTCAAATCGGGAGTTGATCAGATATTACAAATATTATATATTTATATATTTTTTTGTATCAATAAATTCACATAGTCTTGTTTGGTTAAGTATTATTACTAGAAAAGGCCAATAATAAAACTGCCTTATTCACAGGTTGCTGAGTGTATGAATACAAATTTTAAAAAAAATAAGAATTTCATCCTTTTCTTTATTACTTTTACTTGTCTAGGCATTAAGAACATATAGTGAGAGAAAGTATTGCTATCTTAAAAAAAAATTGAATCTAAGTATTCAATAAAAATATATGTATCAAGATCCACTTAAACCAAATATCCATATCTCGCAAAAATGTCTGTTTGTATGTGAAATATTTCTGATAACCTTGTATTCTTGGAAATATTCTCTTAAAAATTAATTTTCTGTTGTACTTACCCCTGCTGCTATGGGATACTTCTGCACTTTTTATGAGTTATTACGGGGATGGTAATGAATAATTTCTGACAAGTTTCAGCTTTTTTTGTTATGTTAGGCTTACAATTGTCTTTTTCTCTAGTTTTACCTGTCCAAGAAATGTTAAGGTCACAATGGCCATGTGTGTTGAAGTATTTACTATAATGTTTTCGAGTCTAGTAAAGTTGGTTTGAATCCAAACGGACCCATGGAATAAATCTTGACCTTAATAAACTAAAAACATAAACTGAGCATGTTGGTTTTTGTTTTTAATTTTAGTATAACATTGGATTAAAAGTGTTTAAGTTGTACTGATGTTTCAGGTAAAAGCAAAACATATGGCTTGTGTGTCTATATCATCTTTTCAACTAGCTTGTCGCTTGGTTTGTGGCGGTTCTGCTCCAGAATTACAGCATATTTTGGCAGTATCTCAAGCCAAATGTACTGTAGCAGATCTAGTTCGAATGCAAGAAGTTGTTTCCACGAAATTGGGTGCTGAACCATCTTCACCTCTTCCTATTACACCATATACTTTTTTGGCCTTGTATCATGCTTTTTTATCAGCAATTGATAGGGAAAATGTATATTCCAGGTATAATGTTTGTTTTGTGTTTTTCTCAATTTTTTATTTTATGATTTGAAATTATATAAAATTAACTCAGTTAAGTAATGCTGATTATCGTTAAGACCTGTCAATTAGCTCTTTTAGTGCCATAGATATATTACCAATATATGTTAAAAATGCCAGTAAAAAAGTGCATTTTTGTACATAATTTATATGAACAAGAGAAATATTCACCATTTCCGTTACAATACACCAATATTCATAATTTTTTCAACATTCTCTTAAGAAGATTGTATACTAAGATAATAAAAACACAGAAATTAAATACTACATATTTATTGACAACAAAATTACAGAAAGTATATGGAAAATGAACAAGATTTATTTACAAACGTGTTTTCCTACGCAAGCACCGTGCAGTCCTTTTTTACACATGGAGCGAATCAAGTTGGATCTTTTCACTGCATTTCTGTTCTTTCTGCTGCATACCATACATTGTCGTAATTTTCGCCCTGGCAATTTTTCCAAGACAAAAGTCGGTTTCAATGAAGTATGTGATTTAGCTTTATTTTTCCATCTAGCCGTTTTTTTCTCTGGTGCACTTACAACACTGGAAGTAAATTCCAGCCTGGTCATTTTCTTATTATTGGAATTATGCTGATAAATTATATATGAGTTTAGAGACATTCTTCCAAAAATATTTTTTAACATGGCATTTGATGGTAGTTCCACAAATTGCATATTTGATTGGGTTGTAGTATTTCAAGTTTTCAAGGTCATCCTCACTATCGCTACTGTCACTAATAACATGCAACCTCCGGTTGACAGGAACCACAATATCACTTCCGCTATCGCTCTCATAATCACTAACGCAGTTTTCAACTTGTTCTATTATTTCAACGTCTGTATCTGAAAATTCACTTGTGTCCTACATTTTGAAATCAAAATTAGAAATATTAAAAAAATAATAATCATGATGTTTATTCAAAAAATATGTGATCAGATAGTTAGAATGCAATATAATGAATAAAAATACAAACATGGCCGTCCCCTGCGCGCTATAAGTGAACTGTTAAAAGGAGCGCTATTGCGATGCTGGCATTTTTCACAACTAGCTAGAGCAGCGCGACGCTGCTCCTTGGCACTAAAAAAGTTAAATTGTATTTATAAATCAATCCTTTCTGTAGCAATCCATTCAGTTTAATATGATTACTTACCTAAATTAACAAGTTTATTTTTTTTATATCTAGAATTGTAAATGAGTTTGAACTGTGGCAGTTATTGGAAGTTGTATTATGTGATGCAATGTGTTCCAATTACCGCCCATGTGAAATAGCATTGGCTATTTTATGTTCAGCTATTGATACAGGAGTTGCACGTCTCAAACCATCTCCACCACCTGCATCATCTATTATTTCACTGGTCTCTTTCCTTGGGCAGATACAACAAAAAGCAAATGTAAGATTTTAAACCTTCAATACATTAATTTTTGTTAATATACACATGGTTAATTTCATTCATCAATTTAAGACCCCATGTGTTCTCAAAGTTATTGTGAATCTGTAACTTAGTCAAGTGACATAGAATACTACTATGAACTTAGTTGTCAGCCAATTTCATTTTGGATTTATATCAATATTTTATTTAATCAATCATTAGTCAAGTTTTACAGAATTTTATTTCATATCTAATGTTAGTTTTGCTTGTTTTTTACTTTTCCTTACCTTAACATGTAATATATGAGCCTTTCAGTTGACAAAATGACTAACTCCAATTTCAACATTTTAGAGTAAAGTCATTTTACTGATATTTCTTAAAAAATTTATAAAATCTGTATATACAGTGAGTGAGTTGTTTCCAGAGCTGGTGATTGCAGTGTTAAAATACAAAACTGTGAATAAAGGTGTAAATTTTGTCTCTAGAAATATCATTAAAACTAATACTCTAAACTCTTGGAATTGGAGTTGGTCATTCTGTCAACTCTAATGATTTTGATTAAATATGGTGTCACAATCATAATTAACTGGCTTATAATATCAGGGTAGACCTTATCATTATTGGAATAATCTGACAGGGCATTAAAACTGAATTTTTTAAGCAGTTTCTTCTAAAATATCTTTAATTTCGTTTATTAGCCCAGTCAATGAACGATTATAAAAGGAAATGGCGGGGACACAATTTTTGACTTTGGTACATTGAAGAACTAGTTAGGAGGCAAACATACTAAAAGTCCCCACTCCTAGGTGATGAACTAGATTTAGGACGGGAGGTGCATGGAAGGTCACTTTTTTCGGGTTTTCGCTTTTATCAGGAAAACTATTTATCGCATCAAACAAAACATGGGTTTTTTTTTTGTCCTCCTCTTCCTCGCCCTTTAGGCTATATGGGGTTTTTCCCTGGCCAGGGGTAAGAGCAGGAGATTAATGCCTGAGTTAAAAGACCATCTTGGCACTGGGAGGCTAACTCATAATTATTTTTAATCAAATTATCTCATATATAATGTTGCTGGGCAATGGTGGTGCTGCGTAAAAAAGTTAATAAACTAACAGTCTATTTTATAATTGAAAAATATAGTAAGAAATTCCCGAAGATGTGGGAAAACTTGGATTTTTCACTTTTCTGTTGAAAATTGACCCATTGTTTAAATGAACTTTTTTGTAGCCCTTAAGGTCTGCTATCCAGAGGTACCCCCTCCCTCCCAAGGTCGATGGCTCATGAACCTACTCCCTTCCTTCTCCAAGCTATTTTATTGTTTTTTTCTTAAAAACATTAGAAATAAAAGTACCTTAGGTCATATACAATCACACTTGCTACAGTTTGTTCCATATATTTCCTTAGTCTCCTTGTTTAAAACTTTTCAATCCCAAAATTCATAACCTTGTCGAAATGTTCCCTTCTTAAAAGTTCAAAATCCTGTCAAAGTAGTTTTGATAAATTTCTCTTCAAAAATTTTGATGACGCAATATGAACCATGAAACCCCCTTGTGGACACCCCTGCTCCTATCACTCCTTAAACAATTTCCCTCTACTTACAGGACACCATGTATATCTAATTTATCTCAAGAAGCTGAAGATTTTAGAAATAATATATAATGTATAAATTTGTTAAACGTGATGAAAACATTATGCATAATAATTTCTAAAAACAAATAGTCTATGGTACAGACTCCTTTTTATCAAATTATTAACCTTCGCCTATAACTTAGGGTTATAGCTTCATCTCATCGTAACCTTAAAATATTTTATTTGCGAAAATTCTCGGAATTGGGGCATTTTCAATCTGGAGATCGTCAAACATTATCTATTTAATTAGGTACTATAAACTCGTAAATACCTATTGCTTTCCACTTGAATTGTAAGATAATTTTAGTACAAACTTGAGAAAATAAAGGTGGCCTTCTAAAATATTGAGCCGTTTGACGTGACCTACACTCCCAAAATGTCAAATTAATGAGGTTATATTGACCAAATGATGCAATATTTTTGTTTCCAACCTTTTTTCTCGATTTTGTGATCAAATTATCTTACGATCCAAGTAGAAAGCAAATGGATATAAATGGGTTTTTAGTACCTAATTAAATAGACAAAGTTTGCTGACCTCCAGATTGAAATCACCTCAATTCCAAGAGTTTTCATAAACCAAATAGTTGTGCGTTACGATGAGATGAAGCTATTCACTAAGTTTCAGGTAGATATTAATAATTTAGTAAAAAGTGGTCTGTATGACGGATAAAATATTACTTAACAGAAACTAAATACTTTTATGAAATTTAAATGGACGATTTTATGACTATTTTCAAGCTTGACAAACCAAAAATTTAAAATGCCACGAATTGTCATTCGAGAATTGTTTAAAATCTATTCTATCATTCATTTGTGAGATTTAGTACAGTAATAATAATAATAACCTTTAATAACTGTTTAATTAAGTGTGTTCTAATAACAAATTTAAATAATTATATATTAATAGGACAGCATTTTGTAGAAGGGGATAAGACATATTCACAAAATATGCAAAAAATAGTTCAATGTGGTATTTTAGTTCACAAGTATCTTTAACCCTTTGACTGCGAGACCTCAACGCGTGTATTTTCCTGAGGGTCCCAAAATCCAAAAAGGCGTTCGGAAAAACAGAATTTCTCCCCCTTAAATTTGTTTAAAATACTATTTTGAGTCACCCTGAAAGATATTAGCTTTCAAAAATGCATTTAAATTCTTTTTATTTAATTTTGGGTTCAGAATAAAATCTGTAACTGATAACTTCTAACCTTACTACTACAAGTGGTGATAGCCGAGGTGGGAAGGCAGGTATCCTGTTCGCAATCAAGGTTTTTAAAGAAAAAACACTTATTTTTTATTACAAAAATATTGGTTTTATGATGTTTAATTAAATAGGTTAGTGAGAAAAAAAAAAAAACTTATTTGAAGAGCCATTCAACTTTTATTTGAACTTACTCAAAACATTTGTTATCTGTTTCCCTTGTAATCTATGCGAAATACCGTCCATACAACTAGGTTTATTTAAGTAGACATTTAATCTTTAAAATTGTGTTATTTACATACCTTACCAGATTTTTTATGTGAATATTATGGAAGTAATGTTACTTGTTAAGATATAAATAGAAAATTCCATATAACGCCGATACAAATGCTACCTACCTATTATGAAAATATGAAAATTTTTTAATCCTGCACTCCAATAGTTGTAATTGTAATTAAATATTTTTAAAGGGCAAATGAAAAATCTTCAAACATTCATAAAAGTACGTATTAGTTAGTGTGGAAATTAAAACATTCTCGTTCTTTGGACTGAATTGATAATGATATAACAGTGGTGATTTTCAGATTCGATAGTTTGAATTTGTGTCGACGATGTCACGCCTTGAGTGCCTGAAGTACCTGTTAATAACTAGCCAGTCAACTTTTTACTAATATTGTGACAGAAAAAGCAAGATCAAATTAATAATATCAATGTGAAATGTCAATGTACTGAGCCTGAATTAATGAAAATTCATTTTTCATTGTTTTCTTTTAGTATTTTCTAGTTCCTTCTCATGGCAATCTACAGGGCATTTATAATTTATAATTTCATTCTTCCAAGACCATAACTGTTATTTGATTTGTTTTATTTTTTTAGGAATATAATAATAATTTATATTACTTTTGTTTAAAATAAGAGGATTTTATGTATTTAATTTTTTTTTTTTTGTTAGATTTCAGAAAAAAGTTTTCTATCATGCCATTCAACAGTTTTAAGTGTTATTGGTCGATACAATGCAGAGATACAAGTTCAACATCGTCAGCGTCTTGTATGGAAAGTTTCACAGAGAACATTGAAGCAGCTGAGACCTACTGGGAAACTTGTGACAACTCTTCAAACAATTGAGGAAAATGGACAGCTTCAGATTGCACCTCGCTCAAGGAACTCGTAATATAACTTTTTTTAAATAAATATTTATATTAATAGTAATATAAATTTATCATTCTAGAATTATGGGACCTTGTTAAATAAAAAATAAATAAAATAAAATCCAAAATAGATATTAGGTTATTCTGGTCTTTGGGAGGGAGAGAGGGATTGGTAGTATTTCAGTTTAAATAAGACTTATCTATCCCTACATATACTGCGGTAGCATAGATCCCTTTACCAGCTCTCCGGAGCGATGGATTTTGATGAATAAGGTATCAAATAAAAGTGAATTTCATGTTAAAGTGACGAATCATAGTCACATCATCCCGAAATTTAAAGAAAAGAAATTTTTTTGGCGAATAACTCAAAACTAATCATTTTATTATTGATTGTACCCATGATTATTTAAAAAATGACTACATTCCTCTTTTGGTTTTATTATGAATGAACTATTGTGATTCGACTGAGAAAAAAATAAATTACTATATCTCATAATACCTTGTGTTAACTTATTTCTGTATTATATTGTCAATTGTTCACTAATCAACATAATATGCGAATTATTCGCACGGGCCAACTAATGATCTTTAAATTTTGAACATTTCAAATGAAGATATCTCAGTTTTTCAAAAAATATAATGAATAAATTAAAACTGATTAATCTATATTCAAAAGAAAATAAATTGTACCTAGAAAAAAACAATCTGTAATCAGGTCGTTTGCTGTTTTGACACTTCTAATAATCAGGCATTCTGAGATTATCATTTATGCAAACTAACGTCCAAGAGTGCTGCAGGCCTATAGGAGTTTGAGGCAGTACTTTATTGTATGTGATATACACACCTAGTATATTATCTTATGTATCTTTCTAGTTTAATATTAAAACCTGAGGATGCCACATACCAGTAAAAGTGGGAGACTTTAATTGACTCGTTGGCCCTTGTGAATAAGTGGCAGAAAATTTTGTTTAGTGAAGAAATAGCAAAACGGTATGGAAATAAATAGATCTTATGCATTATGTAAGGGAAGCATTCATTTTTTTTCCTGGGTCAACTACAATATTCCATTTAACATAATAGACCAAAATATTTGTTTGAATTGCTTTGCTAGGGCCTATCTCTAAACACTGACCGGAAAGGTAACATTTAAAATAAAGCCTGAATCATTAGATTTTCTAAATTATTAAAAAATATAAAATGTACAAACAAAAAATGCCTTTAAGAAATAATAAAGTGTATATGAGCCAGGAAAAAAAATGTAGAATAGTAAATGCAGTAAGAAGAGAAAGAAATTATTAAGTATACCAAAACAAATGGACTGTATCTTTGTTAATAATTGTCCAATTTTTTGTTTGTTTTGTAGGCAGTTCAGTAATCTTTCTAATTATCATGGGTACAATCAAGAAAAAAAAATGCATAATTTCTTAATTGTTCGCAAATAAAGTTTCTTTTCCTTCATAACTTTTTCCCCTTAAATTTGGGGGTATGTGACTATTTTGCCCACCTGAAGGTGAAAAAGATCTTTAAAATGAGGGCTCAATCATTAGATTTGATGGATAATTGACAAAGTTATGGTGTTGCGACAAAAAAACACCTTTTAGAAATGATATATAAGATTATTGTATAGAACAGACATGTAGTGTGTTTGTCTTCTGCTTTTATTGTTTGTATTATACATTAAACACTTCACGAGTGTTTTATAATTATTACTTTAAATGAACAATAAAAATTTAAATGCAATGTTACAAGAATGTTTACACATCACATCAATGTTAAGCAATATAATGTTGGGCTGGTAACATAACAATACACAAAAATAAAAAAAGGACCTTATCACTCATCAAATACAGCACGAGGAGAAGTATGAAAGTGGGTGAGTTTCCACTAGCAGAAATACGATTAATGATTGGTACATGTAAGAAAGAAACCAACCTACGCTTATTTCAGCAAAAATTGTAATGAATGTATGATCATTTTGTTGGCTATCATAAAATGTAAATCTCCTCCTTATATATAGAAGAAGAAAGACTTAGCATTTGCCAATTTGAGATTCGCAAAACCCCTGCAAATGTTATGGGATTATATTTCCATTCATGTAGTGATTTTTAACATCTTTTACATTACAATCTAATATCATTTATTCAAATAAAATATTGTAAACAGCATTTATAAATAATTTTTCGCATTAATTTTCTTGGTTTTTTAAATATACTTTCCCTAATCTGGCAATTTTAGTAATTGAACAATACCGATTGCCAAGACCAGATTAGTATGATCCTACTGTATTTATTTATCCTACTATAATTTATATAAGATTTAAACATGAAAATTTATCGATGAATATTCTTTACAATTGCTTAAGATTCAGTCTTGAAAATCTATTCATCACTCAGTGGCTATCAATTTTCAATTAATTTTTATCATACACGTTTAGAATCAATTATTGCAATCAGCCAAATTGCATTAAAGTTTTCTACATTCATCAGTTCAAAAGTTATTCACTATTTTTAGTTATGATGTCAGTCTTAATAATAAAAATGTTGTGTTTGATAGCTGAGACCACTTAGATATTACACATTCTGGATGTTTGTTTACATTTAGTCCAGCTAGCTTCGTCAGTCTCATAAACCTCCTGTATTAAAATAATATTGAAAAGAAAATGATCGAGGGTGTTGAGCAGGGTTTTCCAAACTATGGATTGCTGGCATTTGATTGCATGATAAAAATTATTTACAAAATATTAAATTTAGTGAATCACTCAAATACAAGGTTACTATAACTGTTATTGCATTATTTTTTTTTCTATTAAAAAGCTCATTTTACAATTTGAGTGTCATTTATAGTAACATATCAGTTTTTTTACAAAGTTGATAAAATCTTGTCTTTTTTATCCCCCCCCCCTCCCTTCACCTCCTTTTAGGCTATACATGGGCTTTCCTGGACCAGAGGATTAATGCCAGAGTTAAAAGCCCTCCTGGCACCAGAACACTAACTCGTAATTATTTTATCATAATAACCGCTGTTTATCAAGTTCTGGGTAACTGTGTTTTGCATTGGGATTAATCTGCTCAGCCACCCTACCCCCTAATATAAATTATAAATATTATTTTTTGACCAAGATTTTGTACCTTAACCAAATGTTAAGATTATTGCCAAAGTTAAAATAATCTTATCAATTTCACTAGCAATGCCGGCAGAAAAGTAACAATAATAGGTCTGTGTTGATGGGAAGATCTGACATCAATGTATCATGATTTTCTATAAAAATCTATCCCTTTCTATAAACTTATGTATATAGAAAAAAAAAATCTAGTGAAAGGATTTTTGTCAAACTTTAGAATGATAGCTATAAAAGCAATGCATGCTATTGTTAAAAATTTGTTTTACTATAACCTGTAATGTATATGCATTTATCCTAATAAATATTACCAATCATGTTATATACAAAAAAAGAATTTAATTGAGTAAATAATCTCTCACTGTATAATAATTAATATTTTTTCAGAACCAATGTAGAAAAAGTAAGAAAGAAGAAAAATTAACATAGAAACAAAAGAAACTAAATACAAGATAAAAATAGAATATAACTAGAGTAAGACATGTTGTTCCATTTTATAATTATTACTATTCTCTATTGCTATGTTAAATTTTCCACTCCTTTGTGAACCTCAAATTCTTTTAGGTCTACCAACTTCCGGTGACATATTTATTTTGGCTATTAGTCCAGTGCATTTAGGTTTATAAAATACTTTTTTATGTTTGAAATTATACTTAAAATTCCTTAATCTTCTGGAATTTATGTCTTAATTCCTACAGTTGTAATCTGCTCTGCAACATTTTTTAAGTAATTATTTATGAAGAGATTCTAGTTCTGCACATTTTTCTCATTATTGGGCCAGTGCCTTATGATGTGACTTACCAGTCTCATCCAATGCCTGGGTGTCTGTGTGTTTCTCCCCGTTAGATTTATTTATTTATTTTTATCCTTTGGGGTAGCTGTAGGGTGAAAAAGTTTTTTTTTTTTGTTACATTTTTTATTTTATTATTACTTAGCTTTATATATTTCAAAGTATATATACCATATATATATATATATATATCGGGCTGGGGTAGCCATTCGGGCTAAGGCGCCTACAATAGGTAATCAAATTTAAGCAACGCCGAGTGTGGTTAGCACTTGGATGGGTGACTGCCTAACACCAAAGAAAGCCACGCTGCCTGAGATTCCCCTTCCGGGTATGTGAGACCTGTATGTATTGCTAAATATGTTTTTTAACACTTTTATCTAATTATAAACTAAATATTCAAATGAGTGAAAAATATGTATAAAAAAACTGTCTTGTTATTATTAATTGATTTACCATCCGTGCAGTGTAATAAATAACTAATAAAAAGATATTTCTATGGTAAAGCATCCTTCATTATGATGTTCCATTTACAAGTTCTAAAATTGGGACTAAATTAAAATATTTATAAAATGAAGTGATTAAACCGGGACGGCCCGGCCAGGATTTAAGTTTAAATGCTTCTAGGCCTGTTTTTTGTTTGCCTTCTTTATACCAGTGTGACAATTACTCAAGGAATAATCTAGTAATTATTTAAATCACTAAACTATACTGGAAATAATTTTATTAAGAATTTTCATGGTTTTCATTGGCCATTGTTATTCAGTGCCCTCTCTCTCTGCCACTGTTTCCAACTAGTAAGTCTTGTAAAGTTTTATGAATGGCAATTTGATCTAATAATGTAGAATCCTTTATTTTTATGTTTGATTTATCTGTTTTAAGTTTACTTGTTTTCATTAATTTCTACTCATCTTTCAGCTAATATACTAATTAAAATAGTATTAAATAGATCATATAAAATACATAAAAATGTTAAATAAATCTGATTTATAGTTTATCCTCATCGCATTTTAGAGGGAGGGATAATTTTTGTTACAATAATAGAAAAATTAAGATAAAATGCTTAGGATAAAATTTAGATAGATTTAGGGGTAAAATATATGACTGACCTAGAAACCCCCTTCCAATGCACTGGACTACATGTCATCTGTTTACGTAAACGTCAGTTTTTAAAGTAATTTCTCTTGTTCTAAGTTATAATGCAAGTTTGCCTTATTTCGTTTACTTGCTATGTTGTTAATTTCTTATTCTTATCTTCTATGTTTCTCTATTTTTAGAATTTACAAATAAATTATATTCATGTATATTTCTAAGCTTTTAGGAATAATAAAATTTGTACTGATTTTTGAAAGTATTAAATTTTAAAATATATTTTTAATTTAATTATTTTTGCTCCAGATCTTCAAGCTCGAACAGTGATGAAAATTGGACTGGGCCTACTAGCTCCCGCCATCTGCCAACAGATGCATTTTAAGTTTTTTTATTTAAGGAATTTGTAAACCCTTCCCTATTTAAAAAAAAAACAAAAAAAAAACTAAAATTTAAATTAGATAAGTAAAATATATATATATATATATATAACAAATGAGAAAAAAAAATTCTAAAGCAAGTTAACAAACTTGTTTTACAATAAGTATAAATTTTAAGGCTTTTCTAATTTTTCTAGTTTTTGATATTTTATATTTTTGATTTGGTGGGTGGTCTTTAAATTGTATAATGAGATACCTAAATTCTGTCTTCTGTTTTGGTATTAAATTTTTAATACAGTTTGTTATGTTCATGTTAATCGGGACCAAATTAACCAGCATTTAATTATTGTTTAGTTGCAGATAATTAATATTAAGCTGTGGTGAACAGTATCATTTTAAAAGTTGTTTAAGTAAGTTTTTTTTTTACTAGTCTTTCTGTTACCACTTGAAAAAAAATGTGGCATTATTTCCTTGATCTGCGACTAAGGAGCTGTTAAGTAAGCTTTCAATTTCTCCTGAATGTTCCCACCTTTTTAATGAAGTTTGGCCTAAGTATAAAGTTTATTTATGAGAATAAGCTTCTGGTCTCAAGGGTTTTAGATTGTTGGACTGAATAGGTAATTTAATTCTGGGTGGTAATTTAATATCATATTTCAGAATTTATCTAGAATGAAAAGAAAGTACAAATATTTTTCTTTTACTTTTGTTTAATTTTTCAATTTGATATGATGTGATCTCAATTATTTGTTTGTCAATTATGTTTAAGATTTGGATTCTTGATAATTCCAAGGCCAGAGTTTTCATTTGTATATATTTCTTAATTATTATTTATACTTTTAGTGAGTTTGTCATTCTTTTATATTTTTTGCAATTAATATGTCATAAGTGCATATTCAATTAGATTATTGTAAGCTGTTGTTCATTGTAAATAAGAACTAATTTTCTATTGATGTTTACATAAAAAGAAGTGATATATATATTAAAATGACTTTTTACAAATTATCTGAGGTAAGAAATGTGTGATAATGTGATGTTTTTTGAATGTTTAGAGAATTATTTAGATGATTGCACTCTTAGTTTCATATTTAGATATATACGATTTTAAATAGCTGACAAATGTTTATAGGAAACATACGGATGTATTGTAATAAATTTTTTATGTTTATTTTTCTGATTATTTATTTTGATTGTAATTAAACCTTTTAAGAGAAAATAATCACCATTAAAATAGTTTCTTTGCCTTCGAAAAAAAAAAAAGCCATGTAATGCAAATGTCCCCTCGCGCGGGCTCATTACCGCGTATGGGGGGACACGGGTGGCGGATGTGGGGATGGTCGGTGGAAATTCCTTGGAAGTTCCTCCCGGCTAAGTCCGATGGACTCGCTGACCAACAATGAGAGGGGCCCTCCAGACTAATTTTCCAGACTCCAGACTTGCTGGAGGGAGGGGACCTCCAGACTTGCTGGAGGTACGGGCCCACCAGACTTGCTGGAGGGTGTGACGTAGGATTGAACGCCCTACTCACATATCTTTAGTTCACCAAACACCACAAAAAGTCATGGATCTCCCTAAGGTAAAACGCTCATTATCCGGAGGTAAACTAGTCCCCCGTTCGGGTCTCCGGGTGGGGACTGCTTTAGGGGATTCATGGCGCAAGTTGAAATATAGGGATTTAAATATTGGTACGTGGAACGTAAGGAGTTTAAACACAGCGGGGGCTAAAATCGGTCGCGAATGAGGTAAATGGGTACAATTTGGATGTCGTGGCTCTGCAAGAGGTTCGCTGGCCAGGGGAGGGCTCGATGAGGGAAGGAAAGTACACTATTTGGTACGGAGGAAGCGGGAATCATTGTTTAGGTACCGGGTTTCTAATTAGGAGTAGATTACTATCCGCTTTGAGGGACGTACAATTCTTTAGTGATAGAATTTCGGTAGCTACATTTCAGGGACGTTGGTTTAAAATCGCATTAATAAACATACATTGTCCGACCGAAGACAGTGACGATGAAGTCAAAAGTGAATTTTACGATAAACTCGAATGGGTTTATGATAAACTACCGCGAAACTACATGAAAATAATTGTAGGTGACGCGAACGCAAAGGTAGGAAGGGAAGAAGTTTATATTCGACGATTGGTAAAGAAAGTTTGCACGAATATAGTAATGATAATGGGATCCGTCTGATAAACTTTGCCATCTCGAAAAACCTGATAATTAAAAGTACGACGTTTAAACATAAGGATATTCATAAATATACTTGGACATCACCGGATTCGCAAACACGAAATCAAATCGATCATGTCTTGATACAACACAGCTGGCAAAGCAGTATAAAATGTACGGTCTTATCGCGGAGCAGAATGTGGGTCGGATCATGAATTAGTAATCGCGAAACTTCGACAAAAACTTAATATAAAAAAGAGAAAAGAAAACCGTTTCGATTTTGAGAATTTTAATTTGGAAAAATTAAAAAATCCATCAATTAGAAACCAATTCGAGCTAGATGTTAAGAATAGGTTTGAAGCTTTAGAGCTTCCTGACGAGGACCACGAGGATATTGACAAGTTATGGTAGAGATCAGGATAATATTAAAGCGGTCGGTAACTCGTGTCTAGGAAAAAAGGAAAATAAGAATAACAAACCGTGGTTTGATGAAGATTGCTTAAACATGTGCGAAAAAAGAAAGCCGCTAAATTAAAAGCTCTAAATAATCCTAGCGAAGACAATCTGGAATACTTCCGAATCTCAAAGAACGAAACGACAAAATTGCTCAAAAATAAAAAAAGGGAGTATCTTAAAAATAAAATAATTGAAATAGAAACTAATAGAATCGAAAATAACGTAAGAGACATGTACAAAGGTATAAACAGATCACGTAAATATGTAGGGCCCGTAACGTCTGGAATTAGGGATGATAATAAATATTCTGACCGATCCGGTTGACATATTGAATAAGTTTAAGGACCACTTTGACAATATTTTAAATACGGGAAATTATGATCTGTGTCCTCCTTCTGAGTACCAGAGTGCTGAACCGTTAATAGAAGGACCAAGTAAAGAGGAAGTTGAAGTAGCTATCGGAAAATTAAAATCATATAAAGCAGCGGGAATCGATAATATTCCTACTGAACTAATTAAGGCATGCGGGGAAGCTGGAGTTTCTAAAATACATCGGTTGGTTAAAAAGATCTGGGTGAACGAGAAATTACCTGAAGAATGGAAAGAATCTATTCTTATTCCGATTCACAAAAAGGGTCCGAGGACGGATTGTAATAACTATCGAGGAATTTCACTCCTTCCGGTATGTTATAAAATATTCACTTAATCTTAACCAGTCGAATCACGGAATACGCCGAGGAAATTATCGGAGACTACCAATGCGGATTTAGACGGAATCGTTCGACTATTGATCAAATATTTTCTTTACGGCAAATATTAGAGAAAAAATTGGAGTATAACGGTATTGTTCACCAGCTGTATATAGATTTTAAAAAGGCTTACGATTCTATTGACCGCCAGAAACTGTATAATATTCTAATCGAGCAGGGGATTCCAAAAAAACTAGTAAATCTAGTCAGGATGTGCTTGACGGAGACACTCAATAAAGTTAGAATCGGTAATAATTTGTCCGAAAAATTTGAGGTTCGTTCGGGCTTAAAACAGGGGGATTCTCTTTCGCCTGTCCTGTTCAATTTGGCATTAGAACATGCCATTAGGGAGGTAATGCGAACCGAGAAAGGGTTGGATCTGGGCGGGACAACATCCGTGCTGGGCTATGCTGATGATCTGGTACTGTTAAGCGAAGACGTTGAAACTATAAAACTAAATACGACAACGTTAATGAAAGCCGGTAAAGAACTAGGACTCGAAATAAACGTGGATAAAACAAAATATATGGTTAGCTGCAAAAATGGCGATACTACTGGTGATATCGATATAGATGGTAATATGTTTGAACAGGTAGATAAATTTAGGTATCTAGGTTCTACGATAACTAGAAAAAACGAAATTGAAGAAGAGATTAAGTTAGACTGAAGGCGGGGAATGCTTGTTATTTTTCTGTGACAAAACTACTAGTTCGCGCCTCTTGTCCCGAAACTTAAAAATTAGAATCTATAAAACAATTATCTTGCCTACAGTTCTTTATGGATGCGAAACTTGGCCGCTTACATTAAGGGATGAGCAGCGTCTTAAGGTTTTTGAAAATAAAGTATTGCGTAGAATATTCGGACCGAAGAAGGATGAGTTAACCGGAGAGTTCAGACGGTTACACAACGCCGAATTGCGTGAGCTATATCCGGGTAATATAATTGAGGTAATTTCATCGCGGCGAATCAAATGGGCTTGTAAAGTTGTTGGTCTTAGTAACGAGAGAATTCCTAAAAGGTTAATATTTGCTGTGCCGAATGGTAAGCGAAGGTGGGAAGATTGCATTAAAGCTGATCTGAAGGGACTGGGTTTGGACGGCGAACGGTGGAGGGAGGTGTGTAACAAGCGATTGGTGGTGTCGGCATCGAACCTTCGGGTTCGCTAAGCCTTATTATTATTATTATTATTATTATTAATGCAAATGTCCTCTACCTGCATACTGTAGCTATTTACATTTCCCAAAGCCCACTTACTTCAGAAAGCTGTGGTGCTCTGATTTACAAAGTAGTATTTTAACTTATCTGGCCCAATTTATCAGCAGTGATTCTTCCTATGATTACTAATAAAATATTCAATTTTTCATTCTATTATCTGTATTGAATCATTTTCTCCATCTCAAGCTTGTTAAATGTTGACAGATATTTATTGATTGTTACAAGTGATCATCAATATTTCTATAAAGATTCTATTCTGATCAATATAAGTTTTTAAAGAAATATATTTATACTTCCAGATTTCTTAGAATTACCGCTTCACTAAATTCTACATTGTGTATTTAAAAAACATTTCAATCTTCGTGATCTTTCTACCCAAATTTTTTAGTTATGATGCGTCTTCCTCCAGTGCTGATTCATATTCTCTTTCTTTCCTATATTTCCTGCAACTGAACTGTATGT